TTTGTTCTAACTATATATGATGCCCTTTTGCCGTAACAAAAATACAAACATTCAAAGAAAAGGAAGATGTGGTTTTTAAAAGGCCAAAATGATTACCTGGGAAGTTTGGGTGATTTGCTAGCTCTAGTGATTTTGGGAGACTTTTTCGCAGCCCAGTCATCACTCAGTTCGATATCGCTGGAATCAGAGCAGTTGCAGCTGTCAATCACGGTGGAAATCAAACTATTTCCATAGATTTCATCTGTCAACAGGCCCCACAAAAAAAATTAAAGAACTGTTTCAGAAACCAGATCCCAATTACAACTGTCAATCAACTCTAGGATATTCTACAAGCAGCAGCCAAGACACAACAGCAGCAAGGAGCACTGGGTATTCTTTAAAACTAAAACAGAATCAGCAATAGCCTGAAATCAAGCGAATGGTGCTCAATTATATCAGCTGACAGGTCTCTCTCTGAGACTGAGAAATCTCTACAGCTAATTAGAAACCTTTCCCTCTTACATCAGAATATTATAATATACTCAAAACTAGAAGGGAATCACATCTGGCTCCTGATCTTTATAAATTTAGCATTGCAGCACACATATGCATGCTGTAGGTGAAGGAACTGCTGTAATCAGTATGAGTATCTCACATTCCCTTGGGTGGGGCTATACATTTCAGTAGCCAAATGTGATAACTTCCACAGCATTATTTTGTGCCACAGGAATTATGTTGGAATGTATCCACATGACCTTAAAAGGTTATCTGTTATACAGATTCCTTCATATAGTTTGTATATATGAGACCACATCCAGCCTGTGCTGAAGACATTGCACTGGCTGCCAATAGCTTACCAGATTCGTTTCAAAGTGCTGGTTTTGACCTTTAAAGCCCTATATGGTTGGGGGCCTGTCTACTTGAGGGACCGCCTTTCCCCATATGTGCCCCAGAGAACACTGAGGTCAGGGACACAGAACTGCCTGAGTCTCCCTGGCCCGAGAGACGCCAGGTTGGCCATTACTAGAGCCAGGGCCTTTTCAGTGGCGGCTCCACACTGGTGGAATAAGCTCCCGGATGACATCAGGGTCCTGTGGGACCTCCTACAGTTCCACAGGGCCTGTAAAACGGAGCTCTTCCGCCAATCTTTAAATGGTTGGGGGGGAAAGTGGGCACCGCACATGCCTGCCCTGCAACCAGTGGATTTGTTACTTGCAGAGCATAAGCAGGTGGCCCCCACTTGAGCTTTCAAGTGGGGCCACAGATGACGGTTGGGGATGGGGCTTCCCCTGCCAGCCAGCTGGCCACTGTCTGGGGGAAACCCGAAAAATCAGGGGATCCCCTGCCCCCACCTGGGGACTGGCATCCCTACCTTTAGTCCATCTGTTACCAGTACAGGCTGGAACAGGTCAACTAATTCAGTAAGAAGTTCCATATTTCCCATATTCTTTCACTTTCTCTTCCATAGCTTCATGCCACCTCAGTGGTCTTAAAGTGTTATGTGTCTAGGGCTATTTTCGTTACAGAAGGTACGAAGTGACAAATACGTAAATGTAGTCATAAATGCACTGGATAGTGATCACCACCTAGGTAATCTATTACTTCCGAGATTTCAATTCTTTAAGAAGATCGGCAGAAGCAACAAAATAATCCACTACACTTGCCCCTTTATGGTTTATACATGCATAATCTCCCTTTTCATCTAACTGAGTGCATCCATTTAATATCACTAGATCATTCTTTGATAATAAGGATGCAAAATATCTACCAGCGCCTAATTTCCCTATCTTTGGATCTTCTATAATTCATAATTGGAATACCTGTTATCAGAATTTAAAGCGTTTCAAAAAAGTGCCTCATTTGCCTCCCCAACCCTAGCATTAAAGTCCCCAGCCAATACTACTGGGGTAATTGGACGAAGCCTAACCAAGTTCTCTAAACAGACATCTAACTGGTTCCAGCACTGAGAGATCTTAAGCTTGTGAACATATGGCAGGAAATAAATAGTCATCAAAATTACAGAAAGTTCCTTGAACTCCAAGAAGAACGCCATTGCATATGGGGAGCTATTAGACAGCTCAGTCACCTTCACTTTGACGTTTACTGAGATTAAGCAGATCAGCCCTCCAGAGCACCTCCCATTTCCCCCAGTATCAACTGCAGGCAATGAGTATGAGGTAAAACCAGAAACATAAACCTTAACCTTTGCCCAAGTTTCCTGGAGTAAAACTTGGTCACATCTGATCGAATTTTTTTAAACATCACTTGTCATCATCCTAGCATCCCACCCAGTCATGTTCCAGGACAGTACTTTGAGTCAATCATTCCCCCCCCCCCCTTAAAAGCTGGGTCCCCAACTGTACCATCTAGTAACCTGAGTCTGAAAGGGCTTGGAGGCAGAAGTGATCTCTCATCCCAGGGTGACAACTCTACTGGCTAGGGTTGTTCTTCCAATTTACAATCAGATTGTATTTTAATATCACACAGGGTAGACATCAGCCTTTGTAATCACTGTAACATGTCATCCTGTTCTTTTAATGGCAAAGCACCAAAAGATGCTAATAGGCTCTCTTCCGTGCCCGCAAGGCCACCTGTATGCAATCCCTTTTGTACTGGAGTGTACATTCTTATCTGTGGGTGGAGGGTCATTTTGAAGTCACAGCTCTTTAGAGTCCTGAAAATACATTTGTTTATCTACACAATCGGTACCCCTCTTAGGTACTGATTTAAGAGATTTAAGATCAATAAATATTTGCATTCTTCAATTATTTGGCCAGACACAGGAGCATATTCTGCCCTATTCCTCCTTGTCTGGGGTGAAACCTTCAAATTCATTAATAGAGATGTCCTCCTTTTCTGACAGTATGACTGTACAGGAAACACCTGGTATCTTTTAAGGTACTCCTGCATAGAAAATATCAATATTGGTATCTGGGGGGAATAAAAATGGGGCCTAATTCTAGAAGTCTAGAAATACATTCCAGGACCATCTTTCAACTTGTTTCCCTTTACAAAGAGCTGAACCTCTGTTTCCTGCTCCAAGAACAAACAAACAATGCCCCCAAGTGGTCAGAAGTAGCTACTACAAGTGGAAGTTAAATTCCATCCCTACCACTCCGTTTACAGAAAGAAGCTGGTCTCCACGCTTCAATCCCCCGTGTCTATCAGCAATACCACCTGGGATAATTCGGGATATATAGATTGGAGAATTTTGCTCTTTGCCTCCCATGATGTTGAATCCAAGCCCTTCTTCCGTTTTTGGCAGCTCAACAACTCTGGGATGGGAATGACCTTCGCTGGCAGCAAAGGCTGCTACAGTGGCCTGCAAAATAGAAATCCTTAATTTTTCCCCCCAAACACTTCACACTGTTCATTTTAATTCCAAACATTTCAAAATATCTTGTTGAATCTGTCTACTTTGGCAGAATTTATGTTAATCTCATGGTCACTTTTTAAGAGATGTTTTGTACTCTGACTCGATTATCCAGACAAAACCACACACACACATTATAAATGTATTCTCTTTCAAGATGCATGCACAGAGAGGAGTGATTGTTCCCACTGGCATGCTGTTTGAAAGCAAAGACTACAATTAACACACACATGTGCTCTTCATAAAACACAACACCATACATTTTTAACTTGGGCACGAGAAACCAAGTACAAAACATTTTATAGAAAGCAGCCCTAAATGGGAACGGTACTGTGGATTACTGTAATAGGAAACAACAGAACGCACTAAGGATTCTTGGATCTTCCATCTAAGAAAGTTTGTTCTGAGTCAGAAAACATATGCTGGAATAAATGTTGTTAGTCTACAAGGTGTCGCTGGGCTTTTTTGTTATTGTTCTGCAATAGGCTAATACAGCTATCCCTCTGAAATCAATGCTAAAGACTAGCAGTACACCCCTCACCCCCTTCAAAATCCTAAAGAGTCTGGACTCAGCTTCTGACAATCCCAAACTAATCAGCACTTTCTTCCTCCCTATTTCTGCTTTTCCGAGCTATCAGCTACTAAACAATACATTAAGAGCCAAATTACACATTACGGTGGCCATAAGTCTGAACTGTGGCTGCTAATGCCATTCTGGAAAAGGATTTTGCCATTTAAAAATGGTGCAAGGGCCCAATCCTCTTGATGCAGTGAGACCAGGCAATCTTGCACACACACCCCCGGTACCTTTCCAAGTGTAGGCCCAATCAGTACTGTACCCTTGTAGCATTTTAAATGGCCAAATTCTTTCTAAAATGGTGTTGGTGATCACGAGTTGGACCTGTGGCCACTGTAATGCCTAGCTTGGCTCAAGCCCAGGCAAGAATGCCATGTTAGCACCCTGTGCACAAAGGATAGGGAGCTAGCCAGACGCTTACTGCTGCTTTGTGGATGCGTTTGTAAAGATCAGCTGCTGCAGTGCATTAAAACCCACTGGGAGACCTTTGTCTTTGGCTAAGAGATCCTCTTCCGTTCTCCCATTTAGAAGTCTACTAGTCTTTCCATTCTTTGTTCTGTATTAATCCCAAGATTCTGATCTGGCCCCATTGTTTTTCTAAATAATTGGTAAGTTCTGATGAACCTGTTAAGAAGTGTAGTAACACAGTCCTAACTTGAAGCTACCACAGGCCAGACTATTTTTTTATAAAGCTACCCTTATAGAAACTTCCTTTCATTAGCTTGAACAGGGTTCTTACCTTGGCTGTTGCATTCGCTCGTACTTCCGGGCTACTGCTGATGTCCACAGTTTCATACACATGCTCGTATACCTTTAGAAAACGAAACTGCTTTTGAGTTCAAGGATAGGAGCGTATCGCCATCTTTTAACTAATTCAACATCAAACTCAACATCAAAAAACTAAGATCATGGCATCCGGCCCCATCACTCCTTGGCAAACAGAAGGGGAAGTCGTGGAAGCAGTGACAGACTTCACGTTCCTGGGATCCAAGATCACTGCAGACGGTGACTGCAGCCATGACATTAAAAGACGCCTGCTCCTTGGGAGGAAAGCGATGGCAAACCTAGACAGCATAATAAAAAGCAGAGACATCACCCTGCCAACAAAAGTCCGTATGGTCAAAGCAATGGTATTCCCAGTAGTAATGTATGGCTGCAAGAGTTGGACCACAAGGAAGGCCGAGTGCCAAAGAATAGTTGCTTTCAAATTATGGTGCTGGAGAAGACTCTTGAGAGTCCCTTGAAGTGCAAGGAGATCAAATCAGTCAATCCTAAAAGAAATGAACCCTGACTGTCCCCTGGAAGGCCAGATCCTGAAGATGAAGCTCAAATACTTTGGCCACCAAATGAGAAGGGAGCACTCACTGGAGAAGACCCCGATGCTGGGAAAGATTGAAGATAAAAGAAGGGGACAGCAAAGGATGAGATGGTTAGACAGTGTTATCAATGCAGCGAACATGAAGTTGAACAGAATCTGGAGGATGACAGAGGACAGGAGGGCCTGGTGTGATGTGGTCTATGGGGTCGCAAAAAGTCGAACTCGACTGTGCGACTGAACAACAAAAATATAACCTGCTTGTGTTACTTTAAGTCAGGGAACATCTTGTGCTATTCACTGTGTGTATTCTGAAATAAAACTTACCTCCCTCACAGCATTACAGAACTCACTTTGAAGGACTCTTTGTAAAGCTTGCAGTTTTTGTGGTGGTACTTCTCCACTCCTTTGTAGCTTTTCCAGCAACTCAATAGCCCGACAAATGTCTGAAGAAAGATAAGAGGGGGACATAACACGAATGACTACATTTTACTACTCAATTGCCATTATTCGTTTCTATGATAGCCTTGAAGGGTCTTTCCTATTCCAAGCACTACAAATGGAACTGCATCCAGACTTTCCTTTCACAGAACACTCCAATACCTTTTGTCTCCTTCAGTTTTCTTTATTTCAGTGAGGCCTGAACCGATCACCATTGGCTTCTCTAAGCCTTAAGTATGATTTCCCTTGAATTAGGGTGTATCTTCCCGTCAGTTCTTTACCCAGTTCTAATCATTTGCACTCTGTCCCACATCTGTACTCCATTCAAGTGGTGCAAATCTCATGTATTCCCATTATTCTGTTACGTTGATTCTTTTCATTAGGAGAACATTTGAAAGTTGACATGATTTGAAAGCTTAAAACACAGAGGGTGCGTTCAGACGGGAGCTTTCTGCCGGCAGAAACTGCACCGATTGGAACCGGTGCAGTTTATGCCGGCAGAAATGCGCAACGGTGTACAGCTCTTTATAACGGATAGAGTGGGAAGACAGATGTTCCCCGTCTGAACGCCGGTAGGTACATCGATTTCAACCGGCACAGAATCCGTTGTAAAGGCTGCGTCTGAACGCACCCAGAAGGGATTGGCTGGTGTACCCATCAGTTTTTCAAAGATGACCATTAAGCGGGGAGACCGGCAACCCTTATGGACCATGCCTCAAATGTTAATTAAGTCTATTTCCAAATCAGACACCTACTTTTTAAAGTTTCTGACTACAGTTTTACTACCATTTTTATTTCCTATAAATCCAAATTCCCATAAGAAAAAGGGAACACATCAGCTGCACTGATGGAAAACGGATTACAGAGGACTGCCACAGGAAGTGGTGGCGGCTACAAGCATGGACGGCTTCAAAAGGGAATTAGATAGGCATATGGAGCAGAGGTCCATCAGTGGCTATTAGCCACAAGGTATAGATAGGGGCTCTGGGGCAAGTGATGCTCTGCCTTCTTGGTGCTTGGGGGGGTCAACAGTGGGAGGGCTTCTAGTGTCCTGGCCCCACTGGTGGACCTCCTGATGGCACCTGGTATTTCTGGCCACTGTGTGACACAGAGTGTTGGACTGGATGGGCCTTTGGCCTGATCCAACATTGGCATCTCTTATGTTCTTATGTTCTTATTTTGTCCCTTACCGCTTTCTTCACTGAAGCCTCCAGGCTCGTGCAGCTATTAGCCCACTCAAGTCCAGTGATCCCAAGAATAAACATGTTTCCCATACAGGAACAGGCTTGCCGGGACAGTGCAGCAAAAATGGGGCTTTCCCATGGCAGGCTTCCTCACGTTCCCCACACGCAGGCAACCCTCCCTAACACCAGGGAGTTTTTCCTTTCTTCTAAATCCGCAAATTGAATATTGTTATAGCGCTAAAAACATTCTTTCTACCAGGTTTCCTGAATTCCCAGCTTTCATTCTCTTAATAAAGTAAGTTTCTAGATCCTGAATATTTAACAGGAACGGATGAAAGCTGAAGCGTCAGAAAACCTGACATACGGAAGGCTGTGTAACATGGTAAAGGGCAGATTCCTCCAGTCACAGAACGAGACATGGCCATGAGGGACTGGGGCCGGGGAAATGCTGCAAATGTGGGTAGGACCTAGAAGATCTGGCCTTTCCCATCCACATGGGTGCCATCCTGACTTTGCTGTGATTCTTCCCAAAACACTGCAGCAAAACAGGTGTGGAAAAGATTGCAGGAAAGACAGGAAGATTCATGAGATGAACAGAAGCACCATGATATTTTAGAGAAGGTGGGGGGAATAATGCTTCCCAAAGCATCCAAGCTATCGTAAGTGGCTATAGTTCCCGGTGTTGGAAAGGACTCCTAGGGGAAGGGAAATGTGGGGGAAATGCACAGTTATCACTGTCTTCTGCTGATGGATCCAATCTAAGAACGGGTTCAAAGAGCAAAAGGAAATTATTCAACTATATTCTGCTGTCAGGTATCGAATTCCTGAACAATCCTTTTAGACAGGATACCCTTTCCATTCTATAGGTTTTACAATATCACTGGGTAGCAGCTGATGATACCTATCCTAACCTCACTACATAAATATTTAGTAAAAACAGGCTCCCCATAAATCTTGGGAAGGTTCATAAGATCAGCCACTGGTGTCCCGCTCTGTGTGCCTGCATTAAATGAAGTGGAATTAGTTCCCATAATGGAAGTTGTAAGTCTTTCATTCAAAGAGTTACCACAGTATGTGCTGGAATTTGCCCTGCTCTCACCTTTCAGAGCTGGAAATAGGCTTACAGTTAGAGAAATGGCTTGGCGAGAGGTCTCACACAACAGAACTCTGATTTCTTCTGCTGCATTCCATACTCAGGATCTATCATAGGATCTCGCATCTACTTAGCAAGCAGTTGTCAAAAGTTTTACCACTGGGCATGGAAATCATTAAGTCTTCTGTTGTTGCTGCTGCTACCCATCAAAAGAACTGAGCAAAAAATAATATATCCCAATGTTCGGGCTTTGAAGATTAGAAATCAAAACACAGAGGCTTTGCATGACAGGTAGCAGAAGTCAACAGCTGAGTCCAAGTGTCAGGCTGTCATACCCTTGGCAAGGACTGTTTAATTCCCCTTGAGTGACTGAGGAACAAAGAATAAGATGATGTCCAAAACAAATATGGAAGTTACTGTAAGTTATTGTAATGACTACCAGGAGGCTAGAAAATAATACATAATAAAGATTTTGAGCCTAAATGGCCTTGGACCTGGTATCCGAGGGACCATCTTTGCACATAAATTATTGGCAGGTTTATGAGATCAGCCACTGGTGGCCTGTTCTGTGTACCTGCCGTAAATGACATGAAATTAATGAGCAGGCAGGACAGAACTCTTTCAGTAGTCTCTCCCCCTGCCCCCAGTTTTTGAACTTCCTGCCCCAAAAACCTGTCTAGCTCTTTCACTCTTGAACTTCTAGGGATCTGTAAGGACTTTACTTTTCTAGAGGGCCTCTGGTGGAAGATGAGACCACATTGTATCCTGCTGACTTTTTTATTGCTGTTTTTATGTTGTATTCTTCAATTGTTCCATTTTTTCACTTTATGAACTGCCCTGAATACCATTTTGACAGAGGATAGGAGATAACTGTATCCTTGGAAATGTTAAGCAAGGCAATTGCTGGTAGCTGGTTAAGACTTAAATACTACATTATAGCACGTTTTACCAGCCATAAACAAAAGTACCTCATGAAAGAAAATGATCAGGATTTAAGCTATCTCACCCATGTCACCACAACTACACGGTGAGTATTCTTCAGTGTTAAACATCGGCAATGGGGGGAAGGGGGGAATCAACTGTCAGTTAGCATAACAGTGTTCCATGGGCCTCAGTGTTTAGTCACGCCAGCCACAGGACCATGGAAATGTCTTCAAACAGTGCTGGCTCTTCGGCTTGGAAACTGAGATGAGCACCGCCCCCCAGAGTCGGATTCGACTAGCTTTTGAGCAAGGGAAACCTTTACCTTTTTTTAGGGCAAGAAGTTGAGGTTAAGTGTGAGATAAGCAGAGCTTCTCAGGGGCCATTCAAATCTTCAGGGGAACTATCTGCCATAGCATATTTAATTATTTAGGTGATTTGCATGCCACCTTTTGGCCCTATCTGGAGCCCCCAAAAGACAGCAGTAATAAAAATAATATTCAAGTCTTATTTTATTGTATCCTATGAATGGTTTTATTAGTTCTTTTGTAAAAATCAAAGAATTACTCAGGACTTTGAGACATCAGCGCTGTAAAAACCAAGATCCATTCTAATCTATCAATGCATCCATTTCTTCATAACTGTTTTGCAAACTGGGCTTAAGCCACAATATCCTATATTTGCTATTACAATATTTCACCATTACTTCTGAGTACCGATTATTCTATCTCCCAAACAACTACCTTTTGTAATTGAGACTCTCTGAATGTAAGCCATTTTAATTATTTGAGGCATTTAAGAATAGGTATTCTAAATATAGAACAAATATAAATTTGAAAATTTGCGTTATTTCATTCACATTCAATTGTTGTTTGGACTCATGAACAAAACAATAACAGCTCTGGTCTGCTGATATTGACGGGATCCTGTCTGCTCTACAGCCAACAACCTGCCCCTTGGATCCCTGCCCCTCATGGCTGGTTAGATCTTGCTGTTGGTTGGAGAACCCGTGAAAGAGATAATTAATTTTTCTCTCTCTCCCAGAGTTGCTCTCCTAGGTCCTTGAAGGAAGTCAGTTAGGCAGGCCCCTTCTCAAGGAACGATCGTTAGATCCTGAGAACCTAGCCAATTACTGCCCAACATAAAATCTTTCTTATCTTGGGAAGGTGATTGAGAGGGCAGTGGCAGAACAGCCTCAGGAGCTCCTGGATGAGACATTGGAACTCAACCCCTTCCAGTAGCAGCCTTGATGGATGACCTCTGCCATCAATTGGATTGGGGGGGGGTCTGCGCTGCTGATTTTATTGGACTTGTCAGCAGCATCTGACACAGTTGATTATTCGATCCTGGTCGAACGCCTGGCCCCACTGGGGGTTTGTGGGACCGCCTTTGCATAGTTCTTTTTGTTCCTCCAGGGACACCATTGGACGATAGTGGCTGGGGATGAGTGTTCCACTGAGCACTCTCTCAAGTGTGGCGTTCTGCACGGTGCAATTCTCTCGTCAATGTGTGTGTGTATGTATGTATATATATGCACCCTCTATCTGAGCTGATTAGGAGGTCTGGGTTGGATGCCACCAAAATGCATATGACACCCAGCTCTTCCTCCTTGCTGGATAAAAAGCTGGACTCTGCACTGGCATATCCGGCCCATTGCCTTGAGGCCATGGTTCACTGGTTGAAGCAGAGCTGGCTAAAATTAAATCCATCTAAGACAGGGATCATCTGGCTGGGAAGGTCTGGACATCCAGGGAGACTTCAGCTCCCGGCTCGTGATGGGGTCCAACTCTAGCAACTGCAAAGTTTG